TTTCCCATATTTGGGTTACCAGTTAAAGTAATTTTAACATAACCCCCCTGATTTTATCATGACTGGTAGCTTTTGGAGTTTCTTCTGTTTCATGAGCTGAGGGGTGAACATCATCAGCTGATGAGCAGTTTTGACTCAGTCATTGAAGACAGGCTCCTGAGTATAAAAGGAGCAGCTCAATAAAAAGAATACGTTCTGCCTGTGTGCTAGCAATTTGCTGCTTTTACATAAATGGGGAACACCTGTCAAAGCTACAAAGGAGAGCTAATGCATGGGAACACGAACAGATTTTCTCTCTTCATAAAAGCACTTCCTAGTCTGTGTACCAGTAAAAACTGGATCTCCTATTCTTAGGCTTTCGCCATGCAGCCTTCATTTCTTGTAGGTGTGCCTGGGTCAAATTGCATAAAGCTTTAGAATGTTTCTGTTCCTGGAGCTTTGATGTGTCATTGAGAAGTCTAATGCGTGAGGTGTTCTCGTTAGAGAGCAGCTGTTTGATCTCATTCTTGTTTGCATCAAGCTATCCTTGGTGCTTAATTTGACATAGCTGCAGATTCAGGTGAAGCAAGCAAGGCTCTTTTTAAGACCTGCACATTATACTTTTATGTTGCCATCTTAAAAATTAGGCAGCTTAATATGGAGCTGCAGTTGTGCTTCAAAACTGACACCTGTGATATGTTGACATCAAGCTGCTGGACAGAATGATGGAGAGTGTATGTAGTAAGTAAAGATGGATAGATAACCTGTATCTCAAAACTCAAAGATCAGTGGTTGGCTTACACAAAGCCCACTTAATACAAAGATTATATAAATATAATGATAAGAAAATCAATCATGTGACAGATCCTTTCATGGTCAGAGTTTTACACTTATTGAAGAAGGGAGGAGAGATGCATGTACTGAATAAAGGATGGCTGTGGAAATAAAAAGATACCCCCAAACCCTAGCAAATCCCGAATGGTACAAGCTAATTGGCTCAGACAAGTGTTGAAAATGTTAATTTGTCAAAATATGTCCCAAAACAATTTATTTAACTGTTTATGATTCTTGTCTGTACCAGTTCCATTGCTTCTGATGACCGGTGAGAGATCTGTCAAAGAGAGAAGGTGAACTACATTTCAAAGCTGTGGTAAAAAGCATTTTGATCTAAAAGTCAGATTTCTGTTGTTGCGGTACCGTAACCCCTCAGACTTCAGTGGGAATGCATCAATAATAACTTGGAACAGGCTTTTCCTGAAGAAAGGGTGGGCTTGGTGCTTTTTTTTTTTGTAATTCAGTCCATACTGTTGGGATCAATGGCTAACTGCTTTTATTCCATATGTCGATGGGATATTCCAAAAGTCTTCTGTTGCCTCATACTGTGCTTCTCCCCAAGTATGTACAACTGTGTGTTCACCCTATTTTCCCAGATGCATTTGACTGAAAACCCTAGCCCTAATATTCTATATAAAAGCAGCTGTGTATTTTATCATGAAGATCTCTCACATTTGTGTATAGAAAACAGTGGCTAAACTCATAAAAGCCCTTATGAAATTTATACTGTGAGGTTACAGCCTTGGCTAGATTATTTTTGGAAAAGTTTTTCAGCTGTTTCCGGGGCTGGGTCAGGCTCATATAATTCTTTGATTATTAAATCAAGGTGTGTAAGAAGGCAGTCCTGCAGCCACGATTACCCTGTTCTCTGTACTGGCCGCTGGCTATTTGAACGCCTATGCCAAGACTTGGGCTGTTCAGCCGAAAATGGGAAAGCTTACAAGGTGTAATCCCCATGCGGGCATTGCCGCGGAATACAACTGCCATACTACAATTTGTTGAGGAAACCCAGAAATATTTAATAGCGATGCACTAGTGTACCTGCACATATTGCAAACATTTGCATAGAGGTGTTGCTAGAGCAGACTCCTGCTTTTTGGACCGATTTTGTGTGAGACATTTTTGTCATTTTTCTGCCTTGAATGGGAAATGACCCGGTGCAGATCCCCCTGAACGCTTCAGGCCCACGGGTGAAAGGCGTGAGAAACGGGCCCCTGCCTGAGGTGTGCTCTTGCCCAGCGCTGCCGCCTGGAGCTGTCAGGGAAACGCAAGGCGGGAAATAAAAGGATGAAGGAATCAAAGAATAATAGAGCGATACAGGTGGGACGTGGAGAAAAACAAACTGGATGGCTAGGAATAGGAATGTTTGGGTAACGTGAAACTCCTCGAGGCGCGACAGGAGGTCGCCCTCGCGCCCGAGCCCGGTGGGCCCCCACAAGATGGCGGCAAGCGCGCGCCGTCCCGCGCGGGTCCTGAGCCCTGCCCGGTGGCGGGGCGTTCGTTCCAGCCCTCCTTCCCCTGGCCCGAAATCCTTGCCTTTCCGTGAGTTTCACGCTTAATTGGGTTTTACTGATTATTGCTAAGAGGTGCGGTTTTATTTTCCTCTGATACTGAAGCAATTAGTCGTGAATGCAAACCACAGCCTTTGCAATCGCTTAATGCTCATTAATTAGTGACTTAACTCTGCCTGGTTTGAAGTAAGTAGCATAAGTGGGAATTCGTGCGTAGCACTTTCCCCAGCAATATTTATTATACGTATTTGACTTGCCAGCTTTCTTCAGTTAATAAAATTAACGTAGAATCGATGAGATGAAATTAATTAATTTTACTTTAATTCTTCTGTGCCATTTCACATGAGAAAGAGAGATTTATTTACGGATGTTACGGCGGCACAATCCTAAGATGTGCTGTACAACTCCAAATTTTACTGAAAAATATGAAAGTATTTTG